CTTTGTAAAGATAAAATCTCTTTATGTACCTTCACTTAGGCTTTATAAAATCCACATGTGTTTTTAAGAAAAACATTTGTTGACGCCATTCAACAATGCTTTTGTGTCGCCATTCAGCAACTTCATGATACTAGCTATGACTAATCATGAGTTATGCAAAACTCACTTGACACTTCGGTGATGGCCATCACATTATTTCTTTCTCAAAGGATTTTGTTTTTCCTTTTAGGTGAATGCACATATGTCATAGTGATCAACTTGCCTCTTCTAAGTGGTATTAAATATAATTTGAATACCAGACGCTAGTTAAATGCCCAACAAATGAAGCACAATAGTTGTTGCCAGTCTACAGTAAGACATTGTATCATTCTCAAATAATTTGGAGGATTATCAATCTCCCAAATTCCTCCAACATATATACGACCCAATATACTTGTACAAAAATAATAATTTATATAAATATAAAACAAGAACATAACTGGTATGCATGTCACAAATAGATATTGGGTTTTGGACACTTTATATCTGCAGCATCTCAGAAATTTGTGTGATTGGGAACAAAAGTAGAACCGTTTGACTAGAATGCCTTCTATATGCATTTTTATTTTCAATTATGCTACAAATATCATGTAGTGGTATTCCACGTATAAAGAAACCAACTTATGCCACTCAAAATCCCAAACGGCACTATCATCGTAACTGATATGGTTACAGGCTGAAAAGAACCAAACAGTGACCACACCATCTTTGCACATAACCAGTGACTGAATGGTTCAACAATTTGTTTACTTATCGACATAGAGATACCAACGGATCAAGATTCAAAGTTCTTAATCAAGTGGTCTTGCTTTGAAAAGAGATAAATCTACATTTCCAGTTCATTCGCGTGCAATCTATACGATTACATCCGCGTGCAATGCAAGAACTCAAAAGAAGCATCCATTCCAAAACTGTTCCCACTACAAAACGGTGCGACTATCAGAAGTGGCATGCAGTTTCTGCATTGAGTAACCAAATAACTGATAGTTTGAAAAGTAATCGCATAAAAATATTATAAAGCTAGAGTTATGAAAGCAAGTAGATTATTATATTCCTAATCACTGTGTGCATTTGTAAATTACTAGCTAACAGGAAACAAACTTTGTAGTTTCAACAGTCACAAGAAACGAAGTGGATAAATTTGAAACCAGCATAAACAAAATTGACAATAAGTATCAGATATTTTTATCTAACATATCATGTCTCTCAAAGCCATGTCAATAACCAGGAGAGAAATATATGTGCAAAGCGACATGCACATCTTAACAACTTGAAAAATGAATCAATTTAACCAAAAATCCCAGGACGCAAATGTGTCCCCTTTAATCAAATATAAATATAGGGGTGTGATATCCAGAACACCCTTTTTTACTTCTCACACACCCCTTATTAATTTTTGTTATTTGATCTTCTTTAATTCATCCAATTCGATGGCAAAAATTAGAAGAGCGTGTGAGAAGTAAATCCACACACCCCAATATATTGTTTCTTAATGTTTTCATTCAACCATAAATATAGCAAATAAACTAATAAACTTGTCGCAAGATTGTTTATGGTTGATAGGTGCTTGTCTCCCAAGATACAACAACCACGCCTTTGTAATAGTAGCGCTCTAAATCACAAGACTCAAATGAACCACGATTGTGTTGATTATCACTCATATGGACTCAATGAGACTCTCTAAAATTTAGTGCACTCTATGTATAATTATGTAACTAATAAAAAGGCTGTCAATTGATTATAGGGCTACCCTATTTACAGAATTTGAGATACTTTTATGGAAAACAAGTGATCATTCATGAATACTCAAATGTTGCAACTCTTCATTAGGATAGACACATCCACCAAAATGCATCACTTCTAATTTCCATTCAATTAGTAGATTTAATATAATAATAATAATAACATTAAATTTTCCAACACAATCAATTCCCCAATACTGATTATCGATTTTCCCTAAATTATTCAATGACCATGGCATCATGTTGCATCAAAAATATTCTTACATGTTAACCCTTTATGGGATCTAGATGAATTTAAACAAGTAAAAACTCATTAACCTCTATGGAAATCATTGGAAAATCACTTAAACCCTCCTTCCATGGCATCTACAAATAGGTGTTTATGGTATCAATTGCAAGAAGCTGAACCCAAGTTAAGTATGACATCTACTTGAACTTGCATTAAATCAACTTAGTTAAAACCTAGATGGTGATCTTTGACCAAAAAAATAAAAAAAATAAAAAAGATGGTGATCAATCATCTAAATAAAAATCAAGCGCATTACGAATAACAAAAGATACTCAATATAAAAAAAAAACTTGGTAATAATAATGCCACAAGATAATTAAGTATTCATGATCAGGCTACATCGTAGCCTATCAAAGAAAGAACCCTAAATCTCTTCCTCCATGTTGTGCCGCAGCCTCCTTTGCCAATATAGTTTTGTTTCTATTTTCGTGGCTTCAATCCCCCTCCCCCTAGATCAAACATAAGGAAACCTATATAACCCACGGCAAGGCTTAAGCTAACCAAAAGACTACTAAATTCCAATTAAATCCCACTAAAATCCTAACTAATGGACTTTAAGCTTTATTAAAGAAAATAAAAAATAAACAGAAATAATAAAGCTAGAAATTAAGTTCTCTTTTATAATCCATTGAGTAGCATTTTCATGTCTTTGATCTCTAAAATAGTTGTTGTCTCATCATCTTACTATAAAGACTACTAAATTCCAATTAAATCCCACTAAAATCCTAACTAATGGACTTTAAGTTTTATTAAAGAAATGAAAAATAAATGAAAAAAATAAAGCTAGAAATTAAGTTCTCTTTTACAATCCATTGAGTAGCATTTTCATGTCTTTGATCTCTAAAATAGTTGTTGTCTCATCATCTTACTATAATGCATGTCGTTGTGCGGTTAATTAGTCTACTGCTCCATTAGAATTACTCTAGACACCCGAAAAGCTCGTCTTCCACTTCTTTTTCGCATAACTCTGGTATTGAATGCCTATAGATTAAAACAATATAATTTAGTGCATTTAACCCATTCAAATATACAAAATCCAAAGGGAATATATGTTAAAAATATATGAAAATATGACCACATCAGTATTCAAGAAGCACCTGAAGTAGTGATGGTGATATTTCAAATGATAACGATACTTGTGCTGAACTAAAAACCATGATATGGATGATGACTTATATTATGTATTTTGTTGTTGGTTTCAAACATCCACGTGGTACACCTATTTTGTTATCAACTCAATGTCTTAGAATCTTGTTAGCATCTCAATATGTCTAGATGTGTTATGATGTTTATGTTAGCTTTTGGAATATACACTTGGTATATGTACTGGATGTTATCTAAATTATTGATCAATGAAAGTGATTAACCAAATGATGAAGCAGGGAATATGTGGTAATTGGTTCGTCATGAATTGTTCCTAATAGGTATATGATTTTGACATATGTGACACAAATTGCGCCATGTGTCAAAGGAATATGGGACGCTTTCTGTCTCACTTATCCTCAATCATAGCATTCTAAGATCAGATTAGATGATGATAAATTCCTCACATATACATTTGTTATGTGACGAACTTATAGGTCATTGACTTGTGTGTTTTGTGACGTCTATTCCTTCACACGTAAAGTTAATAAATGACGAATATGGCGTCATTAATACTAAAAATATGTGGCAAATGTAAAATTCGTCATATATAGGTGACGTGAGTGACGCTAGATTTTTGTCACATATAATCAAATGTGATGAATGTCTGTTGCCATTTAAGCCATGTTTTCTTGTAGTGTTTGAAGGCTTCCAGCTCCGCAGCCTCTGTTGTTAGATAAGGAGTAATTGGCAACTTTGCCCTCTACACCTCCGCCAGCTTTCGATGAGCATCCCATCCGTCATGGTGACCCTAGCTAGCTAAACATTCGATATAGCCCTGATCGTACCCCTCAGAGTACTTCCGAGCTGACACTTCCTTAAACAATGCGCGGACCTTTGCCAGCTCTGCTGGATGGCTTCAATATGCATCTCATCTTTCAAGCTTGCTTCTCAATGGGTCTCATCCAGTTTTGATTGGAGGGTTGCTCTGTCGATCGATCTGCTGCAAGTGTACACCCCGCGTCGTCTTTGGCCCTCAACGACTGTGTAGATTCAGCCTCAAGACGAGCCACATGCGCTGCTCAGTCACTGGCCCTCTTTTCTTCACAATGCAACCACTCTGACAAACCACATTAGAAGTTTCTCCAGATTTGCGTTCCTTTCCTGCAACTGACTTTTCTACTAAATCCGATGGGCCAACTCAGCCTTGTAAGCCGCTTCTACCTTGAGGATCCTGCTCGTATGACTCTGGAGCGCAACCTCTGTCTAGGCATTGGCCTAGGAAGAAACATCCAGGACAGGTCATGCATTGGAGTCAAATTGTAGAAGGATTGAAGAAATCAAGCAAGATAGTGATAAGGGCTAGAAAATTTTGAACAAATGATGTGGTAAAGAGTCCAAAAGTGGTAAAGAGTTCAACACTTTTGGAACAAGAAAGATTTGTGAATTTTTGAGAAGATAAATCAAGAGATCCGAGGATATTTAATGAAGATATATCGGAATCAACCAACCTTGAATGTGGATCGTCGCGTCTTGAGATCAGCAAATCCGACAATTGAATTTTACAGGAGAAAAGAATGGACAAAACTTCATTATTTACGAGCACACAACTAAGACAATCCTCATCATTGTTACATTATGGCATGATTCACCAGGTAGAGCGCTCAAATGTGGAACGTCTCAATGTTCAAGAAGTTCGCAAGGTTCGAAGCCAAGATGCCACGTGTCTAAAGAAGGAAAATGTTACGTATTTTGACTCACTCTCCAAGTTATGATCTCTAGGTAACTATCCATCCTCAAGGGGAACAAGTCGGTTTACATACATAGTCAGAAGTCCGGTCATGGACTCAACAGTCTCCGCTGCGGAGCTGATTAAACGGAGCAGCGATGCCACCATCATCCTGTTTTAGAATCAATGGGCGAAGTCCAATGACTTCGCTGAGATTGACCATGTTTGTTCTGCAAGATACAGAAATCTAATCCAGCAAAGAATCAGGGGGTTTTCTGTAATCTTGGTGTCCTTACAATCTAAGGATTGACGTGCGCTGCAAGTAATAACAATTCTAAGAGGATGCAACCTACTTCCTAGATATTTTATGGGATTCTTCTGGTTTAATAAGGATTCTACTATCTTAAAAGGTCCTATCTTAACTGGTATAAATATACCCTTCTAGGATTTATCTCTGGTAACATAATCTTTGCACACTTATTCTCTCGACCACTGCTTGATGTCAATATTGCTTGCTAATTTGATAGTCGGAGAGCCTTCACACCCCTCCCCCCGCTGTCCTTGGCTTACTCACAGTTGTGTGTTCATTACAGATAAACGAGTTTGAGCATCTAAACCTCTTATGACAATGTGCAAAATTGATCATAACATCTATAATAAAATAAATCAGACTCACTTACCAAAGAAATTTTTTAAAGTGTCCGATATTCAAGCAGGTACTTCATGAGTCATAAAATAAGTGGAGGAACACGAAAGATATATTATTTCCTCTACTTGTATTATGATATTTAGAGTACCACTTAAATACCTGATACTTGAAAAAATGTCACCAATTAATTACCAAACCAATGATACAAGGTGAGATGAATCTTCACTTGAAAAGATAGGACTTAGTTATGTAGCTAATTTGTTTTGAGTGCAAGTAGGAGATTGTTGGAAGTATGCTTCATAACTTATTAAGCTGTAATTAGCTTCGAAAATGCTTCAAGTATTAAGACACCTTTTCGACGCTGTTTCTTTTTTTATTTTTTATTATTATTTTATTTATTATAAATTTTGCCTTACTGTTTATTATCCTTTTAACATTTTTGATACATACACATATCGGTAAATCCGTGGCACCGCTATTTTTCATATGTTTTTGTGAGGCCTATTCCGTAATGTATTTTAAGAATTCGAATCATTTATTTTTTAGGTCTTCTCTCAAAGAGCACCCTAATCTGAAACTGCATGACTACTGAGTTAAGGGTAAGAGTTTCTTGCAGTATTGTATTCATTCGTTTTTCTTTACTACGAATGAATATCTTATGGTTTTGGATTTGTTTAATTTTTTTTACAAGGATAATTTATGAATGATGTTCTAAAAGATAGACTGTTTAGATCGTTAAAGTACATTACAGAATGAGCTCTATAAAAAATTGTATCAAAAGCTGTGTAAAAAAAAATGGTGTAACAGATCCCCGTCTTATGTATATACGTATTTTTCTACCTAAATATATGAGAAGCAAACTAAAGATGATCAAATCGAGCGTGATTAGAAAGAATTGGACTTGGCTACTGCAAAATTCAGTAGTGAAGTTAAATCCGATTAGAAAAGTCTGTTACATGCGCAAGACGGAGAAACTAGTGATCATGCACTATATTGTGGATGGTTGAAAATGTATACAATTACGTCCAAAAATAAAGTGTGGATCGACAATTACTTATAAATCCACCTCCCACTTCAGCAGACAGCAGTACAATATGATGGAACCCTACCCTGGTGTCTAGGTTTTAATGCAACGACACAAGGAATCAGCAACAGCTAGTCATGCAACTGCTTACCCATTCTGAAATTTATACAACCACACCAACTTTTTTATAAAAAGGAACGCCATCTCTCTCGGCAAGGGGTACAAAATAGCCATGGGAAGGCAATATGTTTTTCACCACAGTATATTTTAGTGATCGATCGAATAAACTAAAACCCCAAAACTAATCATTTTGGAGTTTGAACTTTGGACTAACAAATACGCATGCATATTCATGACATGTATAATTTTCAAATTAAACTAACTCCAATAATAAGAGAAATTATCGTTTGGTACTATAATCTTATTAACCCAAATTCATATGTTTTATAACATGTTACATGTGAACTAATAATTTTATGCGTTGTTGTTATGAGTTCAAACAAATATTTTTTCAAGGACAATTATACTAAATTAACACCAAGAGTTGGTCTTTGATGAAAAAATAACAATCAAGAGTTGGTTTCTCATCCCATTTTAAAAAAAGAAAGAGGGGGGACTTCAATATGTTATAGTTGTTATACAATAAGGTTCCTCATATCAAAGGTACGAAAAATATTTAACAAGAACGCCATACTCATTATCTTCCAATTTCTTAAACCTCTGCCACCAGTATATGATTATTTGGTGTAACTAAGGCATGGATATATGTGATCACACCCCCATAGTGCTTATTCTCCAATCAAATACATGTAAATTAACAAGGGAACCCTTGAAAATGATACCCCCAAAAGAAAGCACTGCTACACAAAGCACAGCTCAAAAAAAAAAGGAGGATCCCGTAAAAATAATGGGTTGCTAGCTGCTAATTACAAAACCAAAATACATACAACATATTATACAAAACAAAATCCCAGGTCACCTTGACCGATAAAGGAAAATACTGAGCTCCTGGCCGATACTCTCCTCTGGATCAATCAAATGAAAGGACTCAGAATTAGCTGAACCACAAACTCGCTGAAAATTGGCTCTCAGGTACATAATCTCATCACCCTCCCTATAATTATTCAGCTCTTTATTCCCATTAATAATCCCAGCACCCACCACAACTGATCCTATCAGCCTCAGTGCTTCCATGTCATGCTTTGAAGGCTTGCGCTTGATTGCATACCCAACTTTTTTACTATTGCAATACATGGTCCATACAGGCGTGGCCAAAAGAGAGTTAGAAGAACTATTTGGATCAGTAGCTGCCTCGAGCGCTATTCTAAGAAACCCACCTTGCATTTCTTTGGCTAGAACGGTTGTGGGCAAGGCTAGCTCGAGAAGGAGAATTGGGTTGGACTGGGAGGTTGTTTGGATACAGAAACTGACTTTCCCTCTTCGGTATCCGAATATGGTGCCGATTATGATGTTGTTGGAACAAGCAAAGCTTGGCTGGGGACAGTAGTATCTGTTGACGTGGCTTTGTTGTTTGGTGTCTAGATTTTCTTGATGAAGATCATCTTCTACGAAGGTGCAATTGCAAGTTGGGATTAGAACTTCGATGAGAGAGCGAAGAAGCCGCCATGACCGGACTTGTTTTTGGCAGTCAACCGTGATGACGCCGGTGGTTATGGTGGTGGCACCAACTCTAGGGTAGGCCATGGGGAAATTTATGTGGGAATTGGATGTAAACCAGAACCAAAGGACTTATTCTTTTGGGTGGGTGAAGATGGTGTAAAGGGCTCTAGGGCGTTTATATAGCGAAAAGTTGTCTTGTCTGTTCCCTCGTCTATTTTATTATGCCGAGTACGTGTGTTCTCGCTTAGCCGTTTAACAAAAGCAGGAAAAGGACTTTAAAGTCTTTAATGCTCTCCAAAAGCAGTCCTCTCAGTTCATCGGTCACATGTGGGGTTTGCTCATAAGAAACTAAATGTTTTTATTCATTCTGTAATTAAAAAAAACATATTTAATATCTGAGCAAAAACAATTAATAATAAAAAGTCAGAGCATCCAATTGTGACTATATTTCCATGATGATGCATGAGAAAGTGACATTGGCACGTAATTGAACAGAGTAATTTATTTAAACAAATTCATATTGACCAAGCCCCATGCCACATAATATGATGACCTATTGAGCAAGATCTTTGAAATCTGTTTTACGATGTATTGTTTTCTTGTTATTATATCAACCCATCTGTATACTTATATATAAGCAAAAGGCTCTTACAGATTGAATATTCAAAAACCACTTAAAACAAAGAAGCATTGTCAAGCTAGAGAAAAATCAAAGAAAAAACCTATTGTTGTGAATTCAGTATTTGGCCTTGGGATTAGTAGCAATACTTCTTGATCTCTTCGTTCTCTTTCTTTTCATGTTCCTGGTAGTGATCGCTCTCTCGTTTTATTGAAGAGAGCCTTTGTGCTAGTGATTAATCATTCCTTCTAAGGAGAAGAGCATTTTTGTAGCGGTTATGATTTACTGCTCAACCTCGAATCTTGAAGCGATGACTTTTGTTCCAACCTGAAGTGTTGGTTTTGCGGTTTATATGTTTAGATAGAACTATAAATAGGAAGCGACGTTTGTTGGAAGTGACTCTGTTTGGGTCTGAAATCATGGATCTTAGTTGACAAGGAATTAGCCTAAAAAGAAGGTTGCGAGTCTCAGCCTGACGGTGAAATACTCATCCCAGTAGAGAGATGCTAGTAGTTTTGGTCAAGTTCGAGGTTAATTGGGATTGCTTAAAAGGTTAGGATTGGATTGTGGCTTGGTTGAGTCATAACCTTATCTTCAGGTTATAGAACCCAAAACTACTAGCATCTCTTTCATATAGTTGAGGCTACCGAACCTGGTGTAGAAGACCTCGAACTTCACGGTGATTTGCATAACCTTATCTTCAGGTTATAGAACGCAAGACCGAGAGTGTTCCTTCCTCGACCGAATTTTTCCAGTTCAGGAGTTAGTAGAACATTTCACTACGTACTCCACATTCAAGACATTCGTCTGACCGAGCTCGGTGACGAATTAGGAAACTTACATCAGCATTCAAGCCACTGAAGAACGTAGTTAGCTTTTAGTTACTTCGACTAGCGCCACGTAGATTGTGTAATTTTTTAGACCAACTGACTCATAGCAGGGTTTTTTATTTATTTTTTATTTATTTACTTTTGTTTTATGATTGCAAGATTATCAAAAGGTGTTGCAGTTTTTCCCTCGTAATGTTATTGCACTGGTTTGAGGGATAACCATGTTTTCTTGTTGCTAGTCGTTGCTAAGTTTTCCTGTGATATGATACAATGTTTATGTTGTGTGTCTTGATGGTGTTGTGTCCAGCTTATAGGATTCAAACCTTGTGAGTTTATATTTCCTGTTGGTTAGATATGATCGTATGAGTCTCTCGTTGCGGAGGAATCATACTTCTAATTAGTTTATTTTGTGTTGTGTTGTATTTTTCTTTTTTGGTTTTTTAATGGTTTGTTGTCTGTTTACCTAAAAAAAGAATGTGAAGACACTTCGTGATGTCTCATAGTAGGGTTTATTTGCAAAAGGAACTTCATCTTTTACAATTTCATTAGAAGATGATGTAAGACTTTTGTCCTCATGAGTGTTATCTTTCTGTTTGGTTGGATGTGGTTATGTGCCTAGATTTTGTATTGTTTTTTTTTTTTTGCAACATTCTAATGATATTATATTCCTAAGATTTCTTGTTTGATTTGTTTAATGAAATTTTATCCTACCTTAAAAAAAAAAAAAAAAAAAAAAAAAAAAAAAAAAAAAAACTCTTAAATCATCATTGATAACTAATGCTCAAGAGAAGCACATTTACTATTTCAGGAAAAAGAATAAAAATAAATTAAAAGACTTTATTACTTTATAATAAAAGTAGGATAATGCTTATGGCTCTTCACTTATGATTAACGAACCTTTATCATCCGAACATCATTATTGGGACTGTTCATTCTCTTTATCATCATTTAAAGACTATATCTACAAAAAATTATTCAATTTGAAGATCGTTTAGTCATTCATACATGTTAAACCAATCAATAGTTTTGGTAACAAGCAGCATTATCATGATAAACCTTTTATTTATTTTATGCATATGAATGGCTAAAAGATCACCAAGTTGAATAATTTTTTGCAGACATAATCTTTAATGATGATAAAGAAAATGAACGATTTGATTATGATGTTTGGACGATTAAGGTTCGTTACTCGTAAATGGGAGACAAGCACAGTTTTAGAAATAGGTGGCGCTAGGCAGCTGGTCACCACGCCGAATAATCTATAGGCATTTAGAAATGAAGAAAAGGTTCCTAAACCTGCATAAGCGCCAGCCTAGGCCGCCTAGGCCGCCTAGGCGCCCACCTAGACTGTCCAAACCCGCTTAGGTAGTGAATCTTGCTTAGATAGAAGATAGATAACTTTTATTTTACATTTTATTTTTTAATAAATTATAAGACACTTGTAAATACTTGAATAAAGACCCATTATATGCTTTGTTTCCCATATTTTGTTATGTTTTGATACTTTATAATCTATTTGTTATTTTATTTTGTAATTTATGTATCCCAATGAAATTTATATTTTTTACTTATAAGCAGACGATATTTATATAATATATAATAAATTTATTTAAATCTGCCTAGTCCGCCTAAGCGTTAGACCCTAGCGTACTGCCCGACTAGCTCCTAGGGTCTTGTAAAACCTTGGAGACAAGTAAGTCCCCCATAAAAGGAAAACAAGCATTATGCATAAAACAATTATTTCACCTATCAACTCAGTCTAAAGTTAAGTTATCCTATCACGACGGGAACCATTAATCTAAGTTGGTGTTAAATTTGTTAACGGTTTTCACCACGAGGATTTGAATCCTAATTTGTTTTTACCATATGAACTATCTTCCGATTACCTTTCACCATGAGGACCACTAATGCAAAAGTGCCACTATGTCCGTCAATATTTAATGTTTTGCACCCACTTTATGTTTTGATCTGTTAAATATGTAGAGACAAGGTAAGTGAAAAAATAGGACACATGTGTGCAAAATGCTAAGTTATCTTATAATATCCCACATTGCTCAGGGGAGTGGATCCTGTAAGCCTTATATTTATATTCTCATTTCTACCTAGCACGAAGCCTTTTGGGAGCTCATTGGCTTCGGGTTCCATCGGAACTTTGAAGTTAAGCGAGTAGCACGCGAGAGCAATCTCATGATGGGTGACCCACTGGGAAGTTCTCGTGTGAGTTCCCAGAAACAAAACCGTGAAGGCATGGTTGGGGCCCAAAGAGGACAATATCGTGCTACGATGAAGTCGAGCCCGGGTCGGGATGTAACAATTTGGTATTAGAGCCAATCCCTGGCCGGAAGTGTGCCGACGAGGACGTCGGGCTCCTAAGGGAGGTGGATTGTAATATCCCACATCGCCCAGGGGAGTGGATCCTTTAAGCCTTATATGTATATTCTCATCTCTACCTACCACAAGGCCTTTTGGGAGCTCACTGGCTTCGGGTTCTGTAGGAACTCCGAAGTTAAGCAAGTTCACGCGAGAGCAATCCTAGGATAGGTGACCCACTAGGAAATTCTCGTGTGAATTCCTATAAACAAAACCGTGAAGGCGTGGTCGGGGCCTAAAGCAGACAATATCATGCTACGGTGGAGTCGAGCCCAGGATGTGGTAGGGACCAGGGCCGAGATGTGACAAATCTCATGTTAATATAACATAGTGTATTTTTTTTTGTTTTTGTTTTTCTTCATAAAAACATATCATGATGCCTTAAAACATAAAGGCGCGATATTTGGCCCAAAAATTGAATTTTACGTTTAAAAAATTTAAATATTTTCCAATGAACATGTGTTTCTTTGGGTGCCAAGCAAAAAAACTGTGCTCTTTTTTATCTTTGGTGGAGCAGCATGAAAGCAAACCATATATAGTGTGGAAAATTATCTCCATATAATTGGACTGCCCCTTATGTCTTCAGGAACTTTTATTTTCTGGTTCAAAGAAATTCAAATACAATTCCGTACTACCACATTATATATAATTACAATAATAAGCATTGCCCCCTCAATGATGCAATCATTGGAGAATTGAATATTGCGGTGTATACAACTCCAGGTTACAACTGTTCAACTACTAATTTATAAAAGAATCGTTGTGACCCTTTTCTCTAATATTGGGGGTACTTCTAAAAAACACCCACACGCCAAGCGAGAGCACTAGATTTTATTCCCTGGCTTGTATTAAATCACATGAGAGGGACTTTGAAGCAAAAGGGTGGTACTCCATGGGAGCAAAATAAATGGGGTTGTTCAACTTTCTAGCCTGGTTTCTCCACTCATGTCCTTTGCCTTTCTCTTTCCATGTGTATGTTTCCACAAAATGACACAATGCCCAAATTCTTTTTAGGGTTTTGTTAAGGCAATACGTGTGATCCTTAATTTATAGACCTTGTCCTCCCTTTAATCATTCAATCGGCCGACATCAACCAAAGTGAACTTGCAACATATACAGGTTTATTTTAGGGTTAAGTACCGATAACCACTTAATTTGTAAGTGATTTTAAATTGATCCCAATCAAAAGTTGAATAGTTATCTGTATGTAACTCTTAATTTTATTATGTAATATTATACATTTGATTCAATAACATTTAATTTTC